AAAGTACTCTAAACTGTATAAATAATGTAAAATTAAATTGAATTTATTAGCCAATCAGACGAACTTCTGTCTATGAGATCTAAAGCACTTAAGACCTAGCCCCGGAGCATCGCCCGGGCTTGAGAGCTAGTATTATGCGTCTATTATGTGATTGCGTGTCTCTTAAATGTGACTTCTCGTGTGACAGTAAAAAGATTTTATGAATCGTGTAACGATCTCTATATTTCCTTATATGGTCTTACATGAACTTCTCCCATATCACAATGAACAGTGGCTTATCAAGTTAACCCAACAGACACGCGAACGCGTATTTGAATAAGTCTAGACGAAAGTTTACGATTAAGGAAGCACTGTCACGTCTTTACTATGCATATTAAACAGGTGTCAATAACGAAGTGCTATTTCAAAGTTTCTGCCCTTTGAAGAGGCAAGGCAACCTTATTAAAAATTTACCTATTCGCAGATCATTATTCAGGGTTTCAAGTCTTATAAAGATCAAACTATAATAGAACCATTTAGCTCAAGACATAATGTTGTTGGTGCGTTTTATGCGGAGTCTAAGAGTAAACTATATACACTTAATAGAATATATATTAATTATATTTATATAAAATTAGTCGGAAGGAATGGTTCTGGCAAAAGTAATTTTTTCGCCGGTAAGATAACCTGAAGTTAATGGTTAAATATAAAATAAGTATGATCTTAATATTTGTTACTTTACTTTCGTCATAAATCTGTATCAGCAATTCGATTTGTTTTGAGTGATGCATACACGAATATGAGTAAGGAGGAACGCTTAGCACTTCTTCATGTGAGTTATTTATGTTTTCAAAAAATGTCAAATTTACCTATTAAGACTATTAAAATAAAAATATTTGAATAATTTTATAGGAAGGAACAGGACCGGCCACCATGTCCGCTTATGTGGAAATAATATTTGATAACAGTGATAATCGATTTCCAGTTAGTGATTTTTAATATCAACTGTGCTTACTCGAATGGATTCATGGTTTTTCAATGGAATATTTACTGTCTTGATTTTTTGAAAATTTAACCTTCATCTATCCTAATGTCATTATTGTTGAATTTATTCGTAGACGGGTAAAGATGAAGTGGTTCTTAGACGTTCTATCGGCTTAAAAAAGGAAGATTATTCCTTAGATAAAAAAACTGCGACGTATGTTCTATTTATTTAACATATGAATTGTTTCATATCCTGTTAAGTAATGCTTTACTTCGCTATAGGAAAAATGATGTAATGAATTTACTCGAAAGTGCTGGATTTTCTCGTTCCAATCCTTATTACATTGTCCCACAGGGAAGGGTAGGTGCTGATTTTGTGGATATAATACGTTCTGCATCATTGAAAGCTTTTATGTGACGTATATACCGTGGTAATTTCATAAAACGCTAGATCACTGCTTTGACGAATGCTAAAGATCCAGAACGATTGCAATTATTAAAAGAGGTTGCTGGCACAAGGGTATATGAACAACGTAGACAAGAAAGCATGAAAATCATCGAAGAAACAGGTTATTCCTTTACTATCTGTCAATATGAACAAATTATATACTTTATTAGAATATCTATTGATGATGGCACCTCGTTCCTTTAAAGATTCCAAAAGATCAAAAATCGAAGAGCTTCTCACTTATATTGAAGAACGTCTTGAAGAACTTGAAGAAGAAAAAGAGGAACTGAAAAATTTTCAAGAAATGGATCGCGAAAGACGGTGCTTGGAATATTCAATATATCATCGTGAACAGACTGATATACTTCGTCAGTTGTCCGAGGTTTGTATTGCATTTGCATTGACACAACGTATATAATAGTAATATTTTTTAATATGATGCTTAAAATTGATAGATGGATGAACAACGGGAAAAGGGTGTCCATGGTTCGAACCAACAAAACCTGGAATTCAATGATCTTGAGCGAGAGATTACTGTGAGCTGCTATATTATTTTCATTAAAGCTAAGTGACATTAGATTTATATAAATTTTATCATCATTCAGAACATTGAGCGTGAAATGGCAGAACTCCAAGAAAAAACCGAACTTTTGAGAGTAGAAAAGAGGGAGCTTGATGAAGACATGCAAGAACAGATTAAAGTCCACGCGCAGATTGAGTTGGCAATTAAAGATATGGAAGACACTGCACAACAAAATAAAGAAACAAAAGTTTGTGATTTATATTACATTAACTTAAGTCTATGAACAGTCACAAATAATAATCATAAATTCCAAATCAATAAATAGAAAAGAAGAGAGTTGGAAATGAGAAATATAAAAACGAATATAGATCAAAAAGAAGCAGAGTTGGATAGCATAATACCAATTTATGAAAAGGAGGTTGCTGAAGAAGCTACAATAAAGGAAAGGTATTGTATTAAAAAATAACAGCTATTTGTTATTTATCCACTCATGCTAATAATGTCCAATGTAGATTGGATGAAGCTGAATTGCATCGTCAAGCGCTCTACTCTAAACAAGGGCGTAGTTCACAGTTTCGTTCGAAAGCAGAAAGGGATAAGTGGTTAAGAAAAGAAATAAAAGAGATCGATGACACAATGATCGCGCAAAAACAACAGGTATAATAGGATTGATCGAAATCGTTTGATTTTATGATAAGTATTTTACCTACGTTATGCAATTTTCTTTCAGGCTGATGAGCTAGAAAGCCAAATACACGATATTTCGGAAAGTATAGATAGAGTGAATAATGAAATATACGATACAAGGAATAAGCTAGAACAGCGAAAAACGACTATTGAAGAATTAGGAAATGAATACAATGACTTAAAGTCTCAACGAGATAAATTAATAGATCAGCGAAAGTTTGTATTGTTTTTGATTTATAAAAATCGGTTGTTGTAGCCTTTGTTATATTGATACGGGTTATGTTCGTGCGTCAATAGAGAACTATGGAAAGAAGATGCACAATTAGAAACAAAATTGATCAATGCACGAGAGCAATGGAAAAACTATGAGAGAGCCTTAGCTAGTTCCATGGATAAGGTATTTTTAGTTTCGCCATTTGAATGCTCGTTTAATATTATTAAAATGGATCTGATTAATTATATTAAAGAAAACCAACAATGGCCTGAATTCTGTGAGACGTATCACTGAACAATTTATGATTGGAGGTGTTTATGGGCCACTTTATGAATTGTTTGAATGCACAAATAATTCTATGTGGACTGCAGTAGAAGTCACTGCTGGACAAAGGTCTGAAATTATCTATGATTTTACCTTCGGAATGTAATAAGTTTCTCATATATTTTGCTTGTTTCATTTTTTATTATCGTATGATTGTAGTTTGTTTCATGTAGTTGTTGATACAGACGACACAGCTACTAGAATTTTGGATGTTCTCAATCGTGAACAAAACGGGCGTGTAACCTTTGTACCGTTAAATCGTTTGAGAACTAAGAACTATGAATACCCTGAATCTGAAGATTTTTTACCCATGGTCAATGTTGTTGAATTTGATAAAACATATACAAAAGCAATAGTACAGGTAATGAGCCAATTTTTTATTAGGATTATGTTAAATTCCGATCACCACTTTAATATTATTAAATATCCTTTCTCTATGATTAATAAATTATGAATAAAAACGTTCGAACAGGTGTTTGGTCGTACTATAATTTGCAATAACCTAGAAACGGCATCTAAGCTATCTCGTGAATATGATTTGAATGGTATTACAGTGGACGGTTTGTGTAGTTTTGGTTTAATTTATATGGCATAATTGTCATTTTTATTTTTACTATGTATTCGAATACTTACTGGATAGATTTATTTAGGCGATCAAGTTGATAGAAAAGGAGCGCTTACCGGTGGATATCATGATGTTCGTCGTAGGAGGCTAGAAGCAGCAACAAACATGAAAAAATGGAGAAAAGAATACACAGATCTTGAACAGCGATCCAGATTAGTGAAAAGCGAAATAGCTCATATCCTTTTTAAACGAAATAAATTCACATTATTATAAATCTATTTGTTATCTTTCACTTATGTTTTTATTATACGTCTAGATCAACAAATCACACAAAAATTGAATGCAATACAAAATGTTGAGGCTAAAAGACGACAAGCTCAAGATAGTCGTGATCCTCTTATGTTCGAATTGAATTCCAAAATCAAGGAAGAAGCAAATTTGAAAGAGTCAAAAAGCAACAAAGTAACTTTTGACTTCAAAATCTCAACATTTTAATGCATTTGCAAGCAGTTGTTAATATAAATTTCAACAGGAAAAATCATTGCTGAACCTTCAAAGCAGCATCAAGATGTTAAATGCACAAAAGCAAGCTCATCAAGCGGAAATGAGCACTGAGCTGACCCAAAATCTGACTCTACAAGAGCAACAACGACTCGAAAGGTTGAATGTTGAAGTTGAGCAATTGAGCGAAAAATTATACAAGCTGTCGACATCAAGATCTGAGGTACGTAAAAGATTATATTCATTCATGATGATAATCCTTTGTCTTATATCGATTTTGTGAACTCAGCTTGAGGGACGGAAAAATGTCCTGGAGAATGAATTGGATGCGAATTTGAAAAGGCGCTACGAAGAGTTATTAATTCAAATAGATAGCCTAACTACAAGCGAAGATGATCAAATCCGCAATAGCAAAAATGAAATCGAGGAACTCATTAACGAAATGTCTAATCGGTCGAAAGGTTAATACTTTGTTAATATAATGACTGACAATGAAATTTAATTAACTGATAATATCATTATATAGAAATCGAGTTAGAATTGCAAGACCTCTCTTCAGAACTAAGTCAGAAGACTTCAAAATCTGAAGCATTAAAAGTTAGTAACCTTTCTGTATATTTGTAAACAAATGCTGTGCGTGGTTTTATTAATTAGTTAACTTTTATAGACCGAGCAAAGCAATCGACAGCAAAAGTTGGAACGGCAGCAAAAGAATGTCGACAAATTTCTATCAAAAAGGAAATTATTGTTACAGAAAAAGGATGAGTGCACAAAAAATATACGTGAGCTCGGTGCACTACCAGAAGAGGCGTTTGAAAAGTATAAAAATACAGACCCTACAAAGGTGTGTTTAAATTTGTCATTTAGATAGAAGGGTACAATGTTAACGTTATTGCCGTTTTTTTTATAGCTTCTAAAACAATTACATAAAGTAAACGAAGGTTTAAAAAAGTACAGCCATGTTAACAAGAAAGCGTTTGAGCAATATAACAATTTTACCAAGCAGAGAGACACTCTTACTAAAAGAAAAGACGAATTAGATCAATCAAAGAGGGTAGTTACCATATTACGTATCTATTTATTATAAATTAGCCATTAATCCTTCTTCAATTAGGCTATAAATGATCTAATAATCGTATTAGATCAGCGAAAGGATGAAGCAATTGAACGCACTTTCAAGCAGGTAGCAAAGTATTTTGCTGAAATATTTGAAAAACTGGTACCTGCGGGACGAGGGCAATTAATTATGCAAAAAAGAAATGTCAGGGTAGGTATTTATTTATTTGTATTTATATACATATATGTTTTTAAGTCCTCATTGAACAGCGCTAAGTGAAAATCAAAAAGTATAAAAATAGAATTCTTTATATAACGGAATGCGGGTTTTTGACCGGCCTGATTAGAATAGTCAATTATACTGTTTTTAATAGACTATTTTATTTATTGATAATATATGTTTATCAAATTTATGTCACTCAGGAACAAATGGAAGATGTTGATGAACGGGAAGATCGCGAAGGTGGATCTGTGGATAGCTATACTGGTGTTGCAATAAAGGTACAATACAGACTTACCCTATCAAGACATTCCAAACAAACTTCCTGTATATAAATTTTTGTCTATACGTCTTTTTTGGCATTCAAGGTCTCGTTTAACAGTAAAACAGACGAAGGCCTTCGTATGCAACAACTGTCTGGTGGACAAAAATCTTTAGTTGCACTCACCCTTATATTTGCAATACAACGATGCGATCCAGCGCCCTTTTATTTATTTGATGAGATTGATGCTGCGCTTGATGCACAATATCGTACTGCTGTTGCATGTATGTTATTACTATTTATACGTCATTGATTTTATTTCATTTTCTAAAAGTTTTTTTCCACATAGCGATGATCCATGAATTGAGTGAAAATGGACAATTTATTACTACAACCTTCCGCCCGGAGATGCTTACAAATGCTGATAAATTTTATGGCGTAACATTTTCGAATAAAGTTTCACGTATTAATGTCATTACCAAGGAGGATGCGCTTAATTTTATCACACAGGTATGAATCGATAATTTACATCACGAATTATCTAGTATAAGTAATTCTTATTTATTTATTGTTACAGGTAGAAACGATCAATTAGAGAATGATCGATCATTCGATTTGTTTGATCGTGACTGATCATAAAGTTTTATGAATATGATCGGTCGATAAGTGATTAATCATTAAATAATCATGCCTCATACTATTCATCACTCGTATTATATTCGCTGCACGTTATTCGTGCGACTCAAATTTAAAATGCAAATAATTTTTATGCTCAGACTAATCAGCACGAATAAAATGAATATTCATTAAATAGTTTTACAAAATCCAAATAACTTATAATCATATTTGCCTTTATTGATTTTTTTGAGAGGAGATTGTCTAAAGTGGATGCACTTTACTTTAGCGAGTAATACAAACAGCCAATCTGACACTCTCCCACAAAAAATTGGTCACCCCTGTAATTTAGACTATTCGAATTTTAAAGATCGTGTGTAACGTAAAAATCGAAAACGATCTCAATTTTTTGCAATAGCTCTAAATTTTTATTAGGAAACCATCTTTTGCGGCTTAATTAAAAATGTTTCTTGTGAAATTTTACATGTTTAGCCATGGTGTAAAAAAAGTGACAAACATGTGATGTTGATCCTGTTTGAGTAATGTTTTAGTATTTTATTAATGTAATAATAGAAGATGCAAAAGATAACAAAAAGGAATTTTGGTTAGTATTACAAGATATGAAAAAGGTTTTTGATTCAATATTACTTGATAGCATTAAATTTGGTACTTAAAAGACTTAAAATATCAAGAATAGTGATTATTTTTATTTTGAATTTGTTTAAAAATTGATAATCAAAAATATTACAGATCTAGAAACAGTAGTTTTTGAAATTAAAGATAATATTGAATAAGATGAAATAATCTTATTTTTAATATAAAGAATATTCTATAACTTATTATTAAAAAGAATTCAAAGCAATATAAGTCTAGTTTATACATTGTGTATTTCATACAATAATAGTATAGAGTTTATGATACAAAAAAAAAAGATGAAAACAAGTAGTAGTAACATGTATAGATGATATAATATGGGTTGCATCAAATAAAACACAAATAAAAAAAATTATAGAAATAGCAGAAGATTTCTTTAACTTAAATAATATACAGATTAATGAAAAAAAATTAAACTTATTATGATGAACACCAAAAAAAAAAGAAAAAAAAAAATTTTTCTTTGTCAAAAAGTGAGTTATATACAAACTATAAAAGTTAAGTATTATGTTTATATATTAGTTAATCAACAAAGAAGAAAACAAAATGATTACATAATAACAATCAAGTTTTCTGGAAAGAGACAATACCAAAGATAGACCAGCTAAGTAATTTAAAATTTTAAAAACAGAAATAATAGAAAAACCAAGTTGTTAATTAATGAAGCCAGAATTTAGAATTTTAGTTTTAAACAAAAAAAGAATCAAAGCTCAATTAGGAAAACTATTAAATAATATAAAGTAAAAAAATTAAATAGTTATGAATAATACACTATTTTACAAAAAAGAAGAAGTATTAGTAAGAAGAATAGTAACTAGAATATCTAAAACATTACAACTCAAACATTAAAAAAATTAGAAAAATATAAAGACTGTATGCATAACTACAATAGTGCTAGTAATAGTTGTAAAAAAATGTATAAAAAATATAAAATTTATAAAATTATTATAAGATATACAAATAGAAAAGATATATGATAACTAAAAATTAATACAAATATATTAAATTTTATTGCATGAAAAAAAATTATTCTTTAAACTATAAACTATTTCTAGACAAATTTGACTAAAAAATTAACAAAAATATACTTATGATCTATATTTTTTAAATTTAAAATATTTAAATAAAATTTTGTTTGATAATATTTAAAAATAAAAATTATAATATAATAATATTTAATTTTATATTATAAGAAAAGGCAAAATTAACTTGGCGACCCATCGCCATGGCGACCCTTAAGACTAACCAATCATGTTAAGCCTTATTATTATTGCATTTAACTTTATTATATATATAAACTTAG